TGTGACCTACCACGCGTTTATCATGCTGGGCCTCATCTTCAACTTCGCCGGCGCCTGTGCGATTTTCTTCTTCACCCAGACTCAGCGGGATCTTAATGGGAAGATCGTGTTTGAGATCCCGGACACAATATTTGAGGACAAGTACCAGGATGAGCGATACTTCAAGAATGTCAGCATCTACTTCCATCACCCAACTTTTGACATCGTGGAGACAAACAACGCCTCTGACGCTAACTGGATGAGACTGATCAACATCAACAGTGTACGGGATCTGCCAGATAAGGTGGTTATGTTCAACTATGAATACAGAGACACTGCTTCTCAACTCCAGATTGTCCTTTGGGAAAACAACAACAACTCCCTATGGGAAGCCATTGAGTGTTATTCAATCGATAAAACAACAGCCGTTATTACCAAACAATCAAACTGTGGAAGCTTTCTAAGCGGTGATCGGATATCAATCTTCTTCAAATTTGCCTTTATTCCACCTGACAGAGTGTTCCGGAAGTTAGTTTTCGGGGACATCCGATTCAATGCTAAATATAGTAACAACAAGGGTGTCTGTGAGTCCATATCGTCTGACAATATTACCGACAGCATTGAAGATGGTCTGAAAGAAGGAGTCGACATCACGGTTCACTACTACCGGACAACTGTCAGTGAAGACAGTCACATCATCCTAAAGAACGGAACCAGGTTTTACAGGCAGGAGGATCTGGTCGACATCACTAAAGTGTGGCAGACGGGTTGGCTGAACTGTGAGACCAAGGGCAGTCTGGCTCCCCATGTCGATCCAAACATTGACCCACCCTGTACTACCATATGAGGGACATGTGAAGGTGGGGATGGGATGGGAGGGGGTGTCAGCCTGGCTCCCCATATCAACCTAAACATTGACCCACCCTGTACTACAATCTGAGGGACATGTGACAGAATGACAGAAGTTGAAGTAACAATATTTCAAACAGTATCTTTATGCCTGATACATATCTCTATGTGGAGATCCTTCTGGTCAGTGTCAACCCGTGAAGATCTTGGATAGAATTGATCTTCAGTAACCCATGCTTGTCGTAAGTGGCGACTAACGGGATCGGGTGGTCAGGTTTGCTGACTCGGTTGACGCGTCATTGGTTCACAATTGCGTAGATCGATGCTGATTATTTACAGACATGCCGCCATATAGCTGGAATATTGCTGAGGGCGTACAACTAAACTCACTCACACTGGTCAGTGTCAAACACTGTTGATCAGGGGTGGAAATAACCCATTGCCAGTGTTTTTTTCTGTTGGGCAAGCAAATTTGTATATCACACTGTACCGGTGTCCAGTTGACTTTCAAATATTAATTATGTTGTTTGTTTAAAAAATCAACAAGTAAACGTACGGTATAGTGGAAAAATATAGGGCAAGTGATTTTACATGTGCCACTGTACCGGAGTACACTAGCAATTTTAAAGTTATTTCCCCCCGCTGTTGATAAGAAAGATATCACAGAGGATGTTTTCTCTCAGGGACCTGCTGAACATTCAGCTAAATGGTTCACAGATGTGTGAAAGCGTTCACTCAAACATCATAACCAGAGCCAGGATTCCAACGAGTCAAAGGGACACAGCTCTGAACTGTGAATAACACTAATAAGAATAAGAATAATGATCGACTTGTTAAGATGTGTTTAGAAAAATTCAAACATCATGGCAGGGAACAACAGAAATGGGCTTGACACATTTTACCCATGCGGGGAATTGAACTCGGGCCTTCAGTGAGTGAGTGAGTGAGTGAGTTATTATTTAACTTCACACCTGCAATATTTCAGCCATATCGTGACGACCTTCGTTGAGACAAATGGATGCTTTAATCATGAGGGTACACACCACCCTTTCAAGAACTAGAGAACAGGGCAGTTAAATTATTAGTAAATATACAACATATCAAAGTATTAACAATTTGGTATCACTATACATGGTGTGAACATATCTGTCAGCGGTTTGGCATTTTGCATATTATTCACATAATGTAACTTCACCATCACGTACATATATGCTCATTACAATTATTGTCTGTGTTGGCCTGTGGCATTAATGACAGTCATTTGTATCACAACATCAATACAATCAGTATAAACATATTGTATCATTATTTCATTTGATGTTTCAAGAGCCTACTCCAATATATACAGACAGACTTCATGCCCAATCTATAAGTAAGGCCAGACCAATTTTATTTCTTCATTTACGGATCCACCGGTTGTATTATTTCAAGAATAATAAAAAAATATAAAAATAATTTTCAGCGCTTCAAAAAATAAAATCCTAATGTTAATGTGATATAAGCGAAATACTCTTGAAATCAGTGTGAAACCTAAACTCACTCAACTTCCTTTTAGTTGGGATAAACAAACCAAAAAAGTTAACATGGAAATTCAGGTGAGTTTTCGCAATGACTGGTGATTTTTTTTTCCCCTCCTGCCTTTAGGTTTTCTGAAAACAAATATCCATAAAACAAGAAATAATGGTGTAACTATAGACTACACCACCAGTCTGCCCAAAAGGACCAACACCAAGACAAGGCATTAGAGCACATGGTGATTTTGACAGTAACAGTTTTAATGAATGACGAATGGCTGTAATATTCTGATATATGATTGTTAAATTTACATTTGTGTTTATTTATATATAGAGTCTATTTTGTCAACGTTTACAAACAATGATGTATAAAAAAAACCCCTACAACATGTACAGAAATATTTAATTTATTCATCTATGCTTGGAATGTGTGCATTTTCTTATTTCACATATATTCCATATCTACATATCTGGATAAAGTACATGTATCATAACACTGTGGTAACCTGCGTTGTGTTGTGTTTTCATATAATTGAAAAGTGCTTCTTTAACACTTATAAACCTCCAGTGACGTCACCTGTCTTGCAAGGTTCTACTTGTACCGAGTAAACCCTCTGCAGGCAGTTTCGTGGGCATTCTTCAAGAAATCCTGGGGATTTTCTACAGAATTGCCTGCAGCCTGGGGATTTTCTGAGGAATAGCCCTTGACTTTGAATCAGTTTACCTGTTTAGGAGATTGATATAACTTTGTCTTGCTATCACTGAATACGATTGTAAAATATCACATTATTGAAAACATTCTATATATTGTGCAGATGCCTGGTTTAGAACCTGCTTATTAGCTTGGCGGTTTTATTCACTAGGCTATGAAGGATCACTGTGAAGAATGTGAGGGTTTGTTAGTATGAACCATGTGTTCCTCAAAAGACGGGTAGTGCATGCAGGGCATTCGCAGGACATGGGTAGCGCGTGCAGAGCATGTGTATTGCGCGTGCAAGGTAAGGAATCAGCTGAACATCGCATCCCAGTTGATTTAAACAGTAAATACCAAATATTCAAAATATATCGAAAGTATATCTTCAGTCGGTTCACAAGTTGGATCAAAACCTCGGAGTCGTTTTTTAAAAAAAAGTAAGCCCTTGGCCTCAGGAAATCAGGTTGGGTCTATCGGCCCTAGCCAGTTTCCCTCTGCCATGCCTTTCAAACAAAATCAATCCTCCACATCTACAGTCAAATAAAGATATAACACCAAAACGTCAGTGAGTGAGTGAGTTTAGTTTTACGCAGCACTCAGCAATATTCCAGCTATATGGCGGCGGTCTGTAAATAATCAAGTCTGGACCAGACAATCCAGTGATCAACTGCATGAGCATCGATCTGCGCAATTGTGAACTGAAGACATGTGTAAACCAAGCCAGGGAGCCCGACCACGCGATCCCGTTAGTCGCCTCTTAAGACAAGCATGGGTTACTGAAGGCCAGTTCTAACCTGTTCCATCACAGGACATCAAAATATCAGTACTGTGTAGAAACACCATACAGCATGGAGGATCCCTCAAGATCATCATCTTGTTTGTTCGATGAGAGATGCCATTTTAGTACCCACGTGGTCAACGTATAGGTAGTTGCATACTAATCTCGTACGTCACACGAGTGTCGTATCACATTGACCTGTGTCGTAACGACTTGATCTGAGATTCTAACGATTTGATTGGATAACCGATGACCTCTCAGTTAGGTCACGTTGTGACGGAACTACTTGTTCATTCGTAACAAACATGTGAATTCATTCATTCTACAACTTAGATGCATTGTGGGAATGTAAACAGTGCGAACGTAACCGTGTCGCTGTTTAATTGTGAGTTGAACTGAGACATTATATCCGTCGAAAAACATAAACGCAATGTTTCCACCAGTGATGTTAGCCGAGTGAAGCAACTGCACACTACGAAAAGGGGTGCTAAGGAGTAGTTTACTGTAGGAGGCTGTACGAGAGGTGATGACAACTGACATGCATCGTGACGTCAGTTAACAAGGGGACAGTCGAGAATGGCGTAGTGACGTCAATACAGTGTGACGCCATGCAAACGTGTACTACAGAACATAATTCTTCCGCAACCTCTTTATGAAACCGGTTTCGGTTTGAAACCATAACAATAACAAAAATACGCTATTTTGTCAATTCAATGCATGTAAGACGTGGGTTATAAATAAAATACCACACTCGGTCTCATTACATACGAATTATACGAAACTTGTGACCTTCCTATGGTTCCGTATGTAATGAGACCGAGTGTGGTATTTTATTTATATCCCACGTCTTACATGCATTGAATTGACAAAATAGCGTATTTTTGTTATTGATAGGAAGGACACTCGTTTCGTATAATTCGTATGTAATGAGACCAAGTGTAGTATTCTCTATGTATTTTTCCAGCTATATGGAGAGTGTATGTACATGTATATAATCAAGTCTGGGCCAGACAATCCAGTGACTGACATCATAAGTGTCTACCTACGCAGTTGTGATACAGTGACATGTGTCCTATTAGTCTTTTACAACAAGCATGGGTTGCTGAAGGCCAATTCTGACCCCGATTTTCATGGGTTCAGAGCCTATATTATCTACATCTGTTGATTAATGGATTCTGCTACCTACCTGATTCTGTGACATCTCTGTGGACTACTTTAGCATCCTTTGGGTCGAAGGCTCCTGTCCGGATGACGTAGTCAGTACTCAAGGCCATGGTGTTCACCCAGTGACTGTGACCTTGTAGGGTACGACACAGGACTCCCTACAACATGGACGTGTAATACAACTCATACAACATTGTATACAACACACACACAAGGGCAATTATACAGCACTCCCTACAACATGGACGTGTAATACAACTCATACAACATTGTATACAACACACACACAAGGGCAATTATACAGCACTCCCTACAACATGGACGTGTAATACAACTCATACAACATTGTATACAACACACACACAAGGGCAATTATACAGCACTCCCTGCAACATGGACGTGTAATACAACTCATACAACATTGTATACAACACACACACAAGGGCAATTATACAGCACTCCCTACAACATGGACGTGTAATACAACTCATACAATATTGTATACAACACACACACAAGGGCAATTATACAGCACTCCCTGCAACATGGACGTGTTATACAACCCATACAACATTGTATACAACACACACACAAGGGCAATTATACAGCATATGATGAACAATCAAGATGTGACTGCAGTTTGCTTATACCGGGTGTTGAAGTCACTTCCTGACTGCCGACGATCATTAATAAAGGGGTTTTACATATCTATTACTGATTATATTATTATTTGCAACCTGGGCTTTGATTAGTTGAAATGAACAACTTCTGGGGAGTAACCAATGACATCCTGTGTATATGATTAATTATTCCCATGTCCATTTGATATATATAATACGGCATATGAGTGACGTGGTTTTGGCGGGCAAGTTAGTTGACAAGAGGATAAACACTAACCTGGGCGCGATTTTTCCTAAATATCGTCACAAGTTACGGATTTTCCGATAGTCAACTGTAAAAGATCTATGACTGCTAATGATGTTGACTGCTAAGACATAAACAACTTACATGGAGAAATATAATGTCATTGCTATATGATGTTATTGCTATATGATGTTATTGCTATGTAATCTGTGTATGCATTAAAGATAGCTCAAGTTATTCTTGTGGAAGTATTTGTGACAATTCTTATTATCTATTTGAATGATAATTATAGAGTATAAATCAGAATCTCGTGTTTGCACGTAAAATATGTAATACAACTCATACAACATTGTATACAACACACACACAAGGGCAATTATACAGCACTCCCTACAACATGGACGTGTAATACAACTCATACAACATTGTATACAACACACAAGGGCAATTATACAGCACTCCCTACAACATGGACGTGTAATACAACTCATACAACATTGTATACAACACACAAGGGCAATTATACAGCACTCCCTACAACATGGACGTGTAATACAACTCATACAACATTGTATACAACACACACACAAGGGCAATTATACAGCACTCCCTACAACATGGACGTGTAATACAACTCATACAACATTGTATACAACACACACACAAGGGCAATTATACAGCACTCACTGCAACATGGACCTGTAATACAACTCATACAACATTGTTTACAACAGACACACAAGGGCAATTATACAGCACTCCCTACAACATGGACGTGTAATACAACTCATACAACATTGTATACAACACACACACAAGGGCAATTATACAGCACTCCCTACAACATGGACGTGTAATACAACTCATACAGCGTGTTGATATTGCTGGAATATTTCTAAAAGTGTCATAAAGTCTTACTCATGAAAAGCATTTGGTATAACTCACAATCCAAGGGAGACAACTCTAAAGAAAAGTCCATTAAACGGGCACAAACAGGCCTTCCATTGTTACTACAATACCAACAAAAATAGCAGCAGTAGTAATGACTAGCACATGAAATAAACAGTACTGAAAATGGTCGAACAAACAAAAACAACTCACATCAGCGGCTCTCCACACCTTGACAGTGCGGTCCTGTGAGGCTGTGTAAAGGAGGTCCGTGCCCCCCCACTTGACGCAGGACACAGACTGCAGGTGCCCTGCCAGTGTCAGGTGGGTGTGGCCTAAAACTGTGTCCCAGATCCTCACTGTGCCGTCCTAGTGGACAAAAAAACATACATCACATCATGTATCCATGGAGGCGGTGGAGGGGTAGCCCAGTGGTGAAAGCGTTTGCTTGTCACACCGAAAACACGGGTTCAATTCCCCACATGGGTACAATGTGTGAAGCCCATTTCGGGCATCCCGCCGTGATATTGATGGAATATTGGTAAAAACGGCGTAAAACCAAGTCACTCACTTCAAGCAGTACCATTTCTCTGTAACACTGTGTGGGTGAGGGGTAGCCTCGTGGTAGCAGTACCATGTCTCTGTAACTCTGTGTGGGTGAGGGGTAGCCTCGTGGTAGCAGTACCATGTCTCTGTAACTCTGTGTGGGTGAGGGGTAGCCTCGTGGTAGCAGTACCATGTCTCTGTAACTCTGTGTGGGTGAGGGGTAGCCTCGTGGTTAATTTGTGAAGCCGTGATATTGCTGGAATAGTGCTAAAAGCGGCATAAAACCAAACTCACTCCCTCACTCACTAGTTGATAAAGTCATGCAATAGAGACTATGCTGATGAATTGTCTGGACATTGTCATAAGGGCCTAGCAGGTACTGACAAATGTCAATATGTAATCCTAGTAATTAGCTTTATCAGGAATGGAACAAAATTTGAGCAGCCTCAACAAAATTTGCTAGGACTTACAATATATCCAAGGATCGTTTCTCCTTTTTAATCTTTTGAATTATACTTAATATTGTTTGCATTACATAGGAGGCATAAAACTGTTCAGCTGTGTCTATCCTTAATCTGCTATCTCCCTGACTTGGCTTACCTTGGACGAACTAGCCAAATAGCGACTATCCTTAATCTGCTATCTCCCTGACTTGGCTTACCTTGGACGAACTAGCCAAATAGCGACTATCCTTAATCTGCTATCTCCCTGACTTGGCTTACCTTGGACGAACTAGCCAAATAGCGACTATCCTTAATCTGCTATCTCCCTTAATCTGCTATCTAGCCAAATGGCGACTATCCTTAATCTGCTATCTCCCTGACTTGGCTTACCTTGGACGAACTAGCCAAATAGCGACTATCCTTAATCTGCTATCTCCCTGATTTGGCTTACCTTGGACGAACTAGCCAAAATAGCGACTATCCTTAATCTGCTATCTCCCTGACTTGGCTTACCTTGGATGAACTGGCCAAATAGCGACTATCCTTAATCTGCTATCTCCCTGACTTGGCTTACCTTGGATGAACTGGCCAAATAGCGACCCTCTGGATCTCTGTAACAAGGAACAAAATACAACATGGTCATGCCCTTCAGTAAGATTTTCAAGTTTTGACTCTCTACTTGTTTAACATGTTAATGCAATATTCCAGCAAACAAGTCTAGACTTTCCAAAGGTTTCAAATTTCCCATCCCCCTGAGGCTCCCTTTCAAATGAAGTTAGTTGTTTCTATATACATAATATATTTTCATAGACTAAGTGTTAGTCTTAATGTGTAGTAGGTTCTGTTATACAAGAGCCAATATCAAACATAATGTGCAGTCCTTACAAAATTATAAGGATCTTCTGAGCTTGCAACACAACAAAAATACAGATTGTTGAACAATAGTGATAGTCTATTGCAACATACTTTTGCGATAGTGATAATCTATTGCAACATACTATTGCGATAGTGATAGTCTATTGCAACATACTACTGCGATAGTGATAGTCTATTGCAACATACTAATGTGATAGCGATAGTCTATTGCAACATACTATTGCGATAGTGATAATCTATTGCAACATACTATTGTGATAGTGATAGTCTATTGCAACATACTATTGTGATAGTGATAGTCTATTGCAACATACTATTGTGATAGTGATAGTCTATTGCAACATACTATTGCGATAGTGATAGTCTATTGCAACATACTATTGCGATAGTGATAGTCTATTGCAACATACTATTGCGATAGTGATAGTCTATTGCAACATACTATTGCGATAGTGATAGTCTATTGCAACATACTATTGCGATAGTGATAGTCTATTGCAACATACTATTGCGATAGTGATAGTCTATTGCAACATACTATTGAGATAGTGATAGTCTATTGCAACATACTATTGCGATAGTGATAGTCTATTGCAACATACTATTGCGATAGTGATAGTCTATTGCAACATACTATTGCGATAGTGATAATCTATTGCAACATACTATTGCGATAGCGATAGTCTATTGCAACATACTATTGCGATAGTGATAGTCTATTGCAACATACTATTGCGATAGTGATAGTCTATTGCAACATACTATTGCGATAGTGATAGTCTATTGCAACATACTATTGCGATAGTGATAGTCTATTGCAACATACTATTGTGATAGTGATACATCTGATAGCGATAGTTATTGCAACATACTATTGCGATAGTGATAGTCTATTGCAACATACTATTGCGATAGTGATAGTCTATTGCAACATACTATTGTGATAGCGATAGTCTATTGCAACATACTATTGCGATAGTGATAGTCTATTGCAACATACTATTGCGATAGTGATAGTCTATTGCAACATACTATTGCGATAGTGATAGTCTATTGCAACATACTATTGCGATAGTGATAATCTATTGCAACATACTATTGCGATAGTGATAGTCTATTGCAACATACTATTGCGATAGCGATAGTCTATTGCAACATACTATTGTGATAGTGATAGTCTATTGCAACATACTATTGCGATAGTGATAGTCTATTGCAACATACTATTGCGATAGTGATAGTCTATTGCAACATACTATTGCGATAGAGATAGTCTATTGCAACATACTATTGCGATATTGATAGTCTATTGAGATAGTCTATTATGATAAGATAGTCTATTGCAACATACTATTGCGATAATGATAGTCTATTGCAACATACTATTGCGATAATGATAGTCTATTGCAACATACTATTGCGATAGCGATAGTCTACTGCAACATACTATTGCGATAGAGATAGTCTATTGCAACATACTATTGCGATAGAGATAGTCTATTGCAACATACTATTGCGATAATGATAGTCTATTGCAACATACTATTGCGATAGTGATAGTCTATTGCAACATACTATTGCGATAGAGATAGTCTACTGCAACATACTATTGCGATAGAGATAGTCTATTGCAACATACTATTGCGATAGTGATAATCTATTGCAACATACTATTGCGATAGTGATAGTCTATTGCAACATACTAATAAGATAGTGATAGTCTATTGCAACATACTATTGCGATCGTGATAGTCTATTGCAACATACTAATGTGATAGCGATAGTCTACTGCAACATGCTATTTCATTAGCAATAGTCTATAGCAACATACTATTGGGATAGCATCGTTACAGCCCTAATAATACAAGCGAGTCTGGTAATTCTGTGCGTCCGGTAATTATGCGCAGCTGCAATAGCGTACTTCTTTATCGAAGGTAAACACATTTACGCCTGAAATCGGGACATTTCTACAAGGGACTGGCATTTAATCACTAAAGTTAATTAAATAACAGTAATTGACAGATATATTGACAATTTTATGAAAATTCGTTTTCTTCAGTCTTTTAAACATTTTTCTTCATTATTCATAATTGGATTTAATATGAAACACTCTTCCTTACATTGATGAAGTGATTTTTGAAAATAATCTGGCCATAATACGCTTCCATACTTCAGATCTCCAGCTGGATGTTATGTGCGTCAGTTGAGTCGCAGAATTACCGGACAGCAAGCGATGCCGTCAGATCGCCGATTAGGTCAACCGTATGGCATAATGCAACGTTAGAATGTTATAGTCGTCAATAAAACTTATATTTCTATGTAAATATGATGCATAGCAGCATGTTTAGTCACGTAAACCACAAAAAATAAGAGATGTTTGTTGACATGTTGCGATCGATGTGCTTAGGTCCACGGAATTACCGGACAGCATTGTAGCTGTTTCCATTTGAACTCAATATGATCAAACACCACATTCTACATGTTCTAAATTTGGCACTGAAGCAAAACAATATTTGCATACACCGTGTACCAATTAAACAATTACTAGTAGTAGTATTATGCACTACACAGATTCTAAAAGTTGCTACATATAGATATATAGACATAACCAAGTAGCTATAGGCATGCTTACAGATGAAGTGGTTTCCATGACATCCATGTGATCCACTGTTTGTGTCCGGTCAAAGTTCGGCCAATCTGGTTCCCAGTTTTAGGATCCCACACACATATCTGAGCAATGAAACAAGCGAATAAAGTCATCCTCCTCCTGTCAATGAATGAAAAACACAAACCAAGAAAAATTACAGTTACACTCCCACCACCAACCACCATCATTACTTTACCAAAAATTATAATACACACACAATTTCTTAGCATGAAAAGATAAATCTTCAATAAGTCTATTTACAAAGTGTCAGATTCCGTACAAAGGTGGGCGGTGGGGTAGCCTAGTGGTTAAAGTGTTGGCTCGTCACGCCGAAGACCCGGGTTCGAATCCCCACATGGGCACAATGTGTGAAGCCCATTTTCTGGTGTCCCCCGCCGTGATGTTGCTGGAATATTGCTAAAAGCGGCGTAACACCAAACTCAGTCAGTCAGCTGTACAAAGGTGATCGAGATGACTGTGCTCTACTTTCTGGAGCCAATTTTCATGACCACATTTCGACTATAGTCAGTTTACATTCAGGAATAGGAGTCACAATCATCCAAGTGCTAATATCTCTATCAGCACGTACCCCCAGGATCCTGAACTAAGAACATGCTAAAGTCACTGGCTGGCTGACAAAGAAAGAAAGGAAATGTAATTTTGTTGGAAATTGAGTCTTTCTTTAAAATTGAAAATTTTATTATAAATTGTATATTTATATACTTATCCTATCTCACAGTATGCACCTCTCCTCTTCTTCTACGACCATGTGTGGAAACGTGCTGTAGACTAAGTTGAATCAAATCTTACTGGCCTCCCGCAAACCAAGGAAAACTTTCGCATGTCTAGACCTTTCAAACCGTACCCCGAGAGACATCCAGAGCATGCAACTCAGAAATACGAGCAGCCGTAGCCAAGGCCAATAGAAAGAAGGTCTTAAAGGAGACATGTTCAAAATCTTTCTCCTCCAAAGGTTCATAATCAGCTGATGTGAGATGAGCAAGTACAACGGTAGATCCTAAGCTGGAGGCCAGAACTTCCGAGATTGGTCAGCCAGTTTGTAAGACCGGAGGAGAGACTGGAGTTCAGGGACAGTGGACACCTTCACACTTGAGGCCTCTGCAATAACCATGTTAAGAGCCGCCAGATAGGTAGATAGTGTAGAACCTTTGAGTTTTCTGGAGGTTCGGAGATGCTGAAGGTACTCTGCCACCATCTGCGGGGATGAGACGCCCCTCTTCCTGCAATACGAAATTCTTCCATTTGTCATCGTAGAGTGACCTCGTAGAGTGACCTCGTAGAAGTACGATGCGCTGTAGTTATAGCAGTAGCCACACGCTTAGAATAGCCCTTAGCCGTTAACGACCGATGTAGATGCGTCAAACGTCCAGATGGAGCGTCATCGGGGACCAATGTAGCTGGTCGGAGTGCGGATGTACCAGTAGATCGGGCCGAACCGGAAGTGGCACGGGATCTGGTTTGGCTAGGTCTTGAAGGTTTACGAACCAGCTTCTGGCCGGCCAATAGGGCGCGACCAAAAGCAGAGTCATCCTCTGAGTTGCGCGCAGCTTCACTAATACGCGAGGAAGAAGGGCCACTGGTGGAAACGCGTAAGCGTTCAGGTCCTCCCACGGAATGGCTAGAGCATCGAGGTCCCAAGCCAGAGGATCCGGAATCGGTGACACAAACCGAGGCAGCTGATGGTTGAATCGAGTGGCGAAGAGATCCACTGTCGGAGTCGTCAACAGAAGGCAAAAGGTCTGGAACACCTGAGGATGCAATTTCCATTCCGTTAGAGAGGGACGACTCGGTCGGGACAGATAATCTGCGATGACATTCTACACCCCCGAAATGTGGGTGGCTCGTACCAAGATGTGGAGAGAGTCCACCAGATCGAAGAACCGTTGGGTCCACTGCAGCAGTTGAGTAGACCCCGTGGACCCCATCCTGTTGATATGCCAAACCACCGCTGTGTTGTCCGACTGGATCATGAGGGTAGTTGCTCGTAGGTCATCCTGCCAGTGACTGATTGCAAGCATCACCGCCCAGAACTCCAGAATGTTGATGTGACAGGCGCGATCGATGGGAGACCACCGCCCTGCCATAGTTGATTGAGAAGATGAGCTCCCCACCCGTCCACATACAGGTGGTAAGACAAAACAAACTGTCGTAATGCTGACGCTACCGCTAGCACAATAGCATCAAAGTCCAGAGGTTGAGAACTCGAAGCCTCAGACCCCGGATACCAGTAAAATGGGTCTGGCCACCGATCCTGTTGTAGTAGGAACCGACGAAACAGAAGCAGACACTGAGAGATGACGAGGCACCTCACTAAGAGAAGACGGACCTCCAGCAGACTGAGACACACCCCCATGAGGCAACGATGAAGCCGTAAGGTCCCGGACATTAACAGCAAAAGTTGAGCTGAGCGGACCCAGCGCCGAACTAAGACACATGAGAGGTGAGCGCTGAACCCTGAGGAAGCACCGAACCAAACACCCCATGAGTCAACCTTGAAGCCAGTGAACTATGAGACAGCGCCGAACCAAGAACAATATGCGTAAGCGCCGAAGCACAAACACCGTGAGGAAGCGCTGAACCGGGAGTACTAGTACTATGAGTAAGCGCCGAACCAGGAGCCCTGGGAGCAAGCCCCGAACCAGGAATACTGTGAGCGAGCGCCACACTGGGAATACTGTGAGTAAGCGCCGCATTGGGAGCACCATGAGAAAGTGCCGAACCCAAGCCTGCATGAATTAGCGCCAAACTGGGAGCACCGGGATTAAGCGCCGAAACAAAAACCCCACGAGTAAGCGCCGAACTTGGAGCACCAGGAGGGAAGCAACTGAACACCAGGAGGAAGCGCTGAACCAGGAGTACCAGTAGTAAGCGCCTAGCCGGGGGCAAACAAGAGCGCCGAATTGGACTGAAGCGGTGCTCTGAATGACATCATGTGATCGGCAACAAGCAGCGCTCTACCCACAGGTATCTGTCCTGAAGTAAGCGGTGCTTGAGAGATAAGCGGAGCACTAGAATAATGTGGTGGCCCATAACCAAACGGTACAGGATACGGGATAGAAGTGGAAAAACGTACTCTGGGAACCATCGACACACTTGTCAACCCCATCAGAGGATGAGAAAGAGCTGCATCAAAACTATCCCTTGTACCCAAAGCAAGTGACACATTCTACGCAAGCACCAAATGGGAAACAGACGTAGTAACAACCACCGAAGTGGAAAGCGCCGCACTGCAAGGAAGCGTCACTTGAGATGTAATGCTAGGAATCACACCAAGCGCAGCACAAGAAACCCCCACCTCAGGACCCAAAGTGCACTGAGGGATAGTTATCACCGAAGACGGACGGGGCTGAAGAGAAGATGTAGATAACACTACAACCCTAGGTGGAGAAGAGTCTTCTAAAGTGATGGGGTTAGAGGCATGGTCGGAAAAGTTGCCATAAGTTTTCACCGAGGTAAGAATCCGACGCCTCCCCTAAGAAATCTTCATTAGGAGACGGGGACTGCGAACGACGGACTGCAGTTTTCTTACAGCGTTCTGCCTTAAGACGTTTAGACGCAGACGGACCCTCAGATGGGTTTCGACGATCCCTATCTGACATGCGTCTACAAGCCACCCGGCGGTATTCAGAGAAATCATCGTCGTTGAGGTCTGCACAAAAAGTACAATGGTGCGATCACTCACACCGACCTAAGCAGTCAACACATAAAGCATGTGGGTCTGCCACCGAGAAGTTACTGTTACAATTATCGCAATGTTTGCGTTTCTTAGAACCACTGTGATTAGATTTTCCCATTGTTGGAAACGCAATCAAACTTTCTTTGAGACAAGCACACGTCCACACGACGTAGCGACAAGAAAGAGAATGACAGGCACTGGTAGTCACGTGATCATCTGAGCGAGCTACACGCTTACAGAGATGATTGACAGGTGCTGATGTCGGAGTGGGGGCAGAGGTCAGGGCGGGGCAGAGGCCAGTAAGATTTGATTCAACTTAGCCTACAGCACGTTTCCACACATGGTCGTAGAAGAAGAGGAGAGGTGCATACCGTGAGATAGGATAAGTTTAAAAATACTATATTTTCTTTAATTCAGGCAGAGCTACACATAATCTTTTTGGGTCTTTGAGTTATGTGCATAGCTTTACGCTGTTGAGCGCATGTTTGTTCGTGAATATTCATCAAATTTGATGGTTAGTTTAATTCATTCAAGGGTGTTATACAAAAACAACAAAATTCTGATTAATCAAAAATATGTTTTTTACAATCAATAATTATTTTTAATACTTCTTTCAATCGATTTTCAATTATTTTCGATCATCGGAACATCACTATTTAACCCTAATTTCAGTTACATCACTCCACATCAACTCAAGGCAAAAGTGATTCAGATCTTAAATGTCTACCAATTTAGTTAAATCCATAAAAATGGATATGGTCACATAAGCAAAGCCAACCTGAAATTTGAACAAACAATCCCAAGGGTTTGGGGTACAAGGGACACAACCCTGTACAGCCCTTGCAACACATGACACTGAACTATCACTTGTCTTATTACCTGACTATTCTTGCACCCGGAAGCCAACTTGTTACCGTCTGGAGACCAGGCAATACACAGGATCCAGTGTCGGTGACCTGGCAGAACGCAGCAAGTCAGTCAAAATTCGAAATTGTATTGTCAATATGCAAAGTTCAAGATAAGCATTAGGGGTGAAACGGTATACCGCGGTAAAAGTAGAACCACAGTATTTTGCCTTCGGTTCAGTATACCGTAATGTAATAAAAAAATAATCGTTATTTTTGGTTTTCGTACCGTCATTTCTATCAAGTCATAAAATGACAGTTTTGTTCATTCAAAATAACAAAGATTATGGTAATTTTTTTCCATGTTATTAAACCATGTAAGGTTTGGCTCTTGTCAATTTTCTGCTTTAGGCCTAAAAAAACCCAAGAAGACAAAGACATCAATATCCCCCGCAACGGCAAAATACTCTGTCAAACTCACACCCTCAGAGTCAGGCACCTAATCGCCAGCACACAAAGTCAGCTGCCTAACCCGCTCAGCTACCGCGACTTCCACTGGTGATTAGGTGCCTGACTCTGAGGGTGTGAGTTCGAATCCCGGATGGGGCTCAACTTAAAAACGTACTAGAATTTGTACTTTACTAAAAAAGTGTAATCCCAAATATAACATATATGTTACATTTGACCACTTTCTAAATGGCATTGTGTAATCAGATATAAGTTGGATAGTAATCTCAACAACATGTGAAGCGGAATTCAACTCATTAGAATTTAAATATTCAAGGTTGAGGTGAGGTGAAATTGGGTTTTACGTCGTGCATGAGAATATTTTGCTCATATGACGACGTGAATGCGTGTGTATGTGTATGTGCGGCTGCTTGTACTAGCCCAGACTTAAGCTGTTTTATAGTGCTAGCCCACTGAGATACCATGCCGCAGTGAAGCATGAATACCCCACTCAGACACATTATACTGACTCCGATCCGACCAGTCCTTTTTGTACCCATTAATGCCGAGCGCCAGGCAGGGACCAACAAGTACCATATTTTAACGTCTTTTGGTTTGATGCGGCCGGGGATCGAACCTGCGACCTTCCGCTCTCCGGGCGGACGCTCTAACCACTACACCACGGAGGCGGTCAAATATTCAAGGGACTGTCTGCGAAGAGGCAATGCAGGGAGTCTCTGACATGTGAAAAGGGAGTCACATACACTGCCACTCTCTACCTACCTTTACAGGTGAACTGGGGAGTCTCTGTATTGACATCCCAAAACCGGACTGTCGTATCACCAGATCCACTTGCAAGGTATCTGCAATAAAAAGGTAACAGTATCAACACATTGCATTCCTGTCTATATAACTACATGATATTGATAAGTAAATGTTATGACAATGTCAGACTCAATGAATGTGGGCAGTTTAAAGCCGGCCGCCATATAGCTGGAATATTGCTGAACGCTGCGTTAAACAACAAGCAAAAAAAAAACAAAGTTTAAATCAGAAACAAAAACTATCCACCGATAAATAAAACTCAGTTTACCAATTTACAGAATACACATTTGGATGATATTTTTAACACATCTGTGACCTCACCAGTCAGGGTTGCCGAGACATGCAGACTATTTTCGAGGCACTATTGCGTAAATTTAGTTACATTTTGAACATTAATATTTTATTTTTTATAATTGTCCATGAAAAGATCAACATTTTTTATCCTCAGACATTAAAAGGTTCTAATTTCCTATCTTTGTGCATGAAAAATAATCATTTATAACTCTCATAACATCAAAAAACATGATACAATTGCAAAATGTAAACGATACAAAAACATATTTAAACCGATACTTTCAAAACTAAATATCGATACAGTTCTGAATGTATCGATAATTGTATCGTCTTAGAAAAAGTATCGATGCTTTGATGTATCGATGCATCCCTATCACTTAGTACCGCAGAGAGCACCCGTCTCATGAACAAGGGGCGGTAGTATTCTTTCCCGCATACACGCTACATCTCTTACTGATCAGAGGAGTATGTCACGACATGGAGGTACGTACCTTCCGTCTGGACTAAAGGCTACAGCTATAACAGCATCTGCATGTCCCTCTATAGTACTGGTACAGCGTGTGACGGCTCGTACTCGGAACACAGCTTGGGGCTGATATACAATATCAAGTACTTGTTCTGAAGAGGTCACTTCGACCTTCTGTAGGGTTTTCTCAAGGCTATCCTGAATCTCTGCCTCATTGACAAAGAATGAATATGGCGTGCTTTCATCCTGCAACAGAGAAATTACATACCATGAATTATGACGATTACATAAGTAATGGAACAAATTTCTTACCCACAATTAATCAACAAATTGTGATTTGCTTTAAAACTGTTCGAAACCAAAAGGACTTACACCATTTTTTCGTAAGATTAGCCACTGGTTCAGTCTGATATATTGTCACTGGCAAAAAAACATTCAGTGAACTTAGTGTTTTTACTTGAAATCAATCTAACACGTGACTCACTTTCTGGAGGATGGCATTGCACACTAGTTTGAGCTTGTCAACGGTGATATCAACCGGCAAGTCAAACGGATTTCCTGCTACCTCCCCCGTCTCGCTCTTGAACTGGGCCAGCACGCGCTTTCCCACCTCCTCCTCCTCCTTATGGGGAGTTACCTCCCCATTTCCTACGCCGGTGCTGTCAAACAATAATTTGCTGGTTGTCACAAACATGTACAGGATGGTGGATAAACTGAAAAACTTCTCCTACCTAAAGGTTAAGGACCATCCAATTCATTGTAGTTAATCTGTCATGTCACATTAACAATAGTGATGAGAAAAAAACATGTTGTCCATAACTTTCATTCTGTAGTGTGCGTGTGTGTGTCCAGCTTTAAGTCACGAATGTGGAGTAAAGTAATTAACACTGCAAAGCAAACTTCCAGCTGTATTAAGACATGTAAACAAAGACGTCTGGATCAGTCCAGCCAGTCACTGAAAGTGTGAACATTGATCCATTATATGTCGACTATGAGGACATTCGAACACCCAGTTTTGAAGTGAGACAGGACTGACCTCAGAGTCCGTATTTCATGTGTTTATCCTGTAACAAATATACACTGCTTACTGCAGACTATTCTGGGGCAGACTACCATATGTCCTACTCCAGCATATAAAACTGGACGACTTTGCACTGCGTAAGCCTTGGCTGGAATACGGGTTTATTTCCCTAAAACAGTTTCTAAAAAACAATATTATTAAGCATTTAGCGGCAATGCATAGGATACAGTTGACTTTTTGAGGGGGATTGCGGGCGCAGGCCTTTCGCAGCATAGGCCCCAACTGCGAACAAGGCCCAGGTTTAGTATCCACACCCCACTGCGTGTGGATACATATTATATAGTAGGGGGTGTGGATACATATTATATAGTAGGGGGTGTGGATACTAAACCGGGGGTTAGTTCATCGATTTTCTGACCCGCAGTGGGGGCCTATGTTTCGCAGTTCCAGTACAGGGGCCAGTTCCAAACAAATGTTTGCATCACTATGTCATTCGTAAGCCTAAGGTATAGAGTTACGACTGGTCGTAACTTTACGAACGCTTTGTGGATCGGGAACCAGGTGCCATAGATGGGGAAGCACCATTCACAAAACTAAAAGAATACGTACACGAGACTGAAATCTCATCAACACGTTCCCCATTTACTTTTTTTTCAGCATAACTTATCACGGTTACATGGCGTAAATGATACTCTATCAAGTATATTTGATAGAGAGACACACTATTATATCACCTCATTTCCTTGGTGAATGTTTCAATCCCAAATAGTCCAATAAAACCGAAACGTCAACACGTGTGTTGCAATGTTTTGATGTTCACCACGTGCTTCCGTGTGGGGGAGACATCGTTTAATGAAAATACATTTGGGCATGTTTGAACAAAACACTTCGCTTTTCTGTTAATAACATCGTCTCATGGGCTTACTAGTATTATCTACATACACAGTTTCATGATAAAATATACAAGGGACCAACTAATCGCGTAATATTTAATAAAGTATCTCTCGTAGTTTATTCGTAATGATTTCCCTTTCAAGGGAACTTACTCTAAACATAACGAAGTACCGATGCCAAAATATATTAAGCGCTCGTAAAATATAAGCTACAGACCCGTGCAAAAAGTATTCCCATAGACTTACATGCTATTTTAGTGTAGCATACATAAGTTTCATGAAGTGAGTTTAAGACGGATCTTCGTCAAATTTGACAGGCCTATGTGAAATCATCTCTGCTCTGCGCACATAATTTCAGTTCAATTTTCCGACCACTATTTACCTAATGACATCACATTCATCAACTTACGTATGGTTCCACAATGCACAATCCCATAGGCCGCCATGTTAAAGGAGTTCACGGCACTGTACATATGTTGATTAAATTGTTGCCATTCGATTAATAAGCAACGGAAAATTAAACAGAAATTATGTGATTGTAGGAAAGATGATTCCTCACAAATGTGCAAAATTTGACTTGGATCTTAAGAAAACAAAATTTATGAAAATTATTTATGCTACACTAAATTAAGATGTAAGTCTATGGAAATTACGTCAAGTGTCCGAATACTTTTTGCACGACTCTGTATTTACAATCTGGCACCAGTGCGACATAGCCTGCCCGCTGTTCACCAGTGGTGTTAATGTTTTTTCCTGAAAGCGTAACAAGTTAATAGAATGTGTCGATTCTGAAACAATTTTAAGACATTATTCCTATTTCTTTTTAAATAGCATAATAGTAAATACAGCACATACACATAGAGAAGTATGTATTGGGATTTTAGTTTATAAAAAAAGGTCGTAACTTCAGCAGGCTGATGTTAGAGGAGGAGCCACGAACATGTGAAGATGTCTGTCAAACGTTTATGCAAATTAAAGTGAAATTACTATTAACAGTAATAATTTAGCAATGTTCACTGTGAATTGTCTCCCTTCGACCTATCAACAAGTGCAACCTTAGTTTTTTTACCTGTTCACCGGCATATTTTGTCGGGCGTAAGGTTCTCAACCTCAAGCCCGGCTACATTGAAGACCTCCAAGTTCCCGTGCTTTGCTGCGTAGTATTTGCACAGGTGCTCGAGGGAGTCGAATGTGTAGAGGGATGCGCCCCCAGACCCGCCCCATCCGTGTCTGCTGTTGCTGTGGGAATCGAACACGCAGGGTCGGCCTGCTGGGTCCTTGATGACGGCGGTGGAGAACGCCCCGACAGTGACGAGGCAGCCGTCTGCTCTGCTTCCGTAGCATTCCTCTATGGCCTGTTGGAGCGACATGCCGTTCATGTCTCTGAGGTTCTTCCTCTGAATATCTGTTTGGGGTATGACCAACCCGTGGCAGTGTTTTGTAGGCAGCACCCTGGGCAAGGACAGACGCCATGATGGTGAGATATCTCTCTCTCTCTCTCTCTCTCTCTCTGTGTGTGTGTGTGTGTGTGTTGATGGTGGATGGGTGGTTTTGGGGTTGAGGACAAGTAACACCAAAACATGACAGTCTATAGGGGTTTGTCATTAGAAATATTACACATACTTGCTTGAATAAAATGTACGAGGACAAGGGGCTCTTTCAGACTAAGCATGAGGGGAGGGTCAGTGGACCTGTCATCACCAACCAGCTTTAGTTTAACTGCTAACAGTATCGCAGTATCAGTTTGACGTGTGAGGGAAGTAAGACTTCGATTTGTACCACGTACTTGAAACCAGAGACCTTACAATAAGAGACCGTTCATAATTTAATGTAGGGGGTGATGATGATTTTAAGAGTGGGGTGGGGGTGTCACCCATTTTGTTCTGGGGAGGTAAGGGAGGGGGCTCATCAATCTTGTACACATGTACTAGAGGGGGTCCGCAATTTTGTAAATGTTAATATTGAACAATTATGCTTAAAAATTATGGAAGGGGAAGGGCATTGATTTTGTACATGCCATTGGGTGGGGTGGGGTGACCTACTTTGTACATAAATTGTACTGGGGTCATTCACATTTACATGCTCCTCCATAACAATCAACTTCACCCCCTTCCTAGCCATAAATTATGATTGGTCTCCAATAACATTTCATATGGTCTCTGTTGAAACCCACTAGGAATGGTGGCCAACCCCCAACCCGTTTCTGGTGTCCCCCGCCGTGATATTACTGCATTGGTGCTAAACACGACGTAAGACGTCGCTCACTCACTCACTCACTCACTCACTCATAATAAAAGCCCTCTGCACGTCATGCTCGAAGTCTGGACTTACTTGAAAGGCCAACACGAGCGCGTGTCTTGTGGGAATGTTTGTACTTCATCCACAGCGAGTCTCTCTGTTGTTCCAGGCTTCCACATCCTGTTGATGAGGGTCTGATGGTGAAGTCGGTCTGCTGTGACAACCAAGCGGTCCATGAACTTGGGCGTCCAGTATGTTGTCGGCAGATTCTTGGCGGCTACGATAGCTGTGTAGGCCATAGATGTGCACTGCTGGTTGAGGTGTCGAGAGCTGCAGCGCAAGGAGTCGTTCAGGACGGTGCGGTAAACCAATGATGTTTTCAAACAGGCATAGGTTACAAAAGCGAGAGACGGATCCAGGAATGTGAAGAAGATAGGGTGCACATAGTACCCTCGGACCCGTTCCACAAAACGAGCGTAGCGCTACGACATTCGTACGTATAGGAGGTACGACAGTCGTAACACTACGATAGCTTTCTACAACATAGGGCCCCGTTCCGCAAAGCTATCGTAGCGATACGACAGTCATAAATCTATGCTAGTATGGCAGCTACGACTGTCGTAGCACTGCGGTTGCTTTGCGGAACGGGGGCCTCGTTCCTCAAGGCGATCGTAGCGCTACGACTGTCGTAAGTCTATGTTAAAGTATGGGAGTTACGATCATCTTAGGGTTACGGTCGCTTTCAGGAACGAGGTCCAGGGCCTAGATTTTCGAAGCTCTCTTAGCGCTAAGATAGTCATAAGTTAATTTTAATGTATGGCACTTACGACTATCTTAGCGCTAAGAGAGCTTCGAAAATCTAGGCCCTGATCATTAGCCGAGGGCATAGTACACATGCAAGATGTCAGGAAAATGTTGATTTCCAATCAGCGTCAAAAATGTTTAAATTAGTGATTTTGAATGAGTCGCTGTTCCTACAGGCTTTCATTTATTCAGATTGGTATTAACTGGCGTGCAAAAGCATACGCTTGTATATAAATTAAACAATAAACTCACAAACGTTCGCCCTAACTCTGCAAACTTGAGCCTGAAAAAATATCTATGTATCAAGTGCATCACCATGGGATAACCACTTCTTATTTGTTCTTTCATAGCCCCCATCAACCCACGGTATTACCTTTCTCTGTCAGGAGCGTAAGTGCCTCAACCAAACCAACTAAGACTCAAAACTGTCTTAATCCAGACTCCAAACAAATAACTGATACCAACAGCGACTGATGCAATGTGTGAAGCCCATTTCAGGTGTCCACCGACGTGAATTTCCTGAATATTGCTAAAAACGGCGTAAAACCAAACTCACTCACTCACTCAACAGCGACCGAAACAAAAGAAACACAAACGTACATCCTCTCCACTTTTGGAATATTCGCCTGAGAGAAGGTTCCCTGGATCGTCCGCTTCTCGTCCGGGAAGGGAAACTGCACATGCGCATACGCGTTCTTCCGCTTGGTTCCAAGGATCCCTGCACAGGTCTCAGCGATGACATCCTGGGCAGCGAGGTTGTCCTTCGCTGTACGCTCTTGGGATGAGGTGCGCCTGAATGTTGATGGACGCCTTCGACGTTTCATCAAACGTGTGGAAATATCGGCCCTTTTCGGATTGTGTCTTGATTCTATCTTTCGAATCTAAAGCATATATGTTGAAATGTACACATGTACAATGGATACCGGGTGACGGCAGGCACGTTTTGTCACGGACATATATTCTATAAACATCAGTATAGAGTTCACAGGGGGCCGGTTCCTGGCTTTCCTTAGAGGTGTCTTCTACCCCGGCTTCCAGTGACTCCTATATATATGTATACCTTTGGGTCCAGTTGCTTCCAGTTATTCATATCTTTGCTTCCTGTTACTCCTAACACTGCTAACACTGCTTCCTACCTCTGCTAACACTGCTTCCTACCTCTGCTAACACTGCTTCCTACCTCTGCTTTCACTGCTTCCTACCTCTACTTCCATCACTCCTATCTCTGCTAACACTGCTTCCTACCTCTGCTTTCACTGTTACTACCTCTGCTTACACTGCTTCCTACTTTTGCTTTCACTCTTTCCCACCTCTGTTTTGACTGCTTCCTACCTATGCTTTCACTGCGTTATACCTCTGTTTCCATCACTCCCACCTCTGCTTTCACTGATTCCTACCTCTACTTCCATCACTCCTATCTCTGCTTTCACTGCTTCCTATCTCTGCTTTCACTGCTTCCTACCTCTGCTTTCACTGCTTCCTACCTCTGCTTACACTGCTTCCTACCTCGGCTTTCACTGCTTACTACCTTTGCTTCCAGTTACTCATACCTCTCCTAACACTGCTTCCTACCTCTGTTGCCATCACTCCTACCTCTGCTTTCACTGCTTCCTACCTGTCCTAACACTGCTTCCTACCTCTTTTGCCATCAATCCCACCTCTGCTTTCACTGCTTCCTACCTGTCCTAACACTGCTTCCTACCTCTTTTGCCATCAGTCCCACCTCTGCTTTCACTGATTCCTACCTCTACTTCCATAACTCCTATCTCTGCTTACACTGCTTCCTACCTCTGCTTTCACTGCTACTACCTCTGCGTACACTGATTCCTACCTTTGCTTTCACTCTTTCCTACCTCTGCTTTCACTGCTTACTACCTATGCTTTCACTGCGTTATACCTTTGTTTCCATCACTCCTACCTCTGCTTTCACTGCTTCCTACCTGTGCTTTCACTACTACTACCTGTGCTTTCACTGCTTCCTACCTCCACTTTCACTGCTTCCTACCTCTGCTTTCACTGCTTCCTACCTCTGCTTTCACTGCTTCCTACCTATGCTTTCACTGCTTCCTACCTATGCTTTCACTGCTTCCTACCTCTGCTTTCACTGCGTAATACCTGTGTTTCCATTCACTCCTACCTCTGCTTTCACTGCTTTCTACCTCTGCTTCTATTTACGCCTACCTCTGCTTTCACTGCTTCCTACCTCCGCTTTCACTGCTTCCTACCTATGCTTTCACTGCTTCCTACCTCTGCTTTCACTGCTTCCTACCTCTGCTTTCACTGCTTCCTACCTATGCTTTCACTGCGTAATACCTGTGTTTCCATTCACTCCTACCTCTGCTTTCACTGCGTAATACCTGTGTTTCCATTCACTCCTACCTCTGCTTTCACTGCTTTCTACCTCTGCTTCAGTTTACGCCTACCTCTGCTTTCACTGCTTCCTACCTCTGTTTCGACTGCTTCCTACCACTTCTTCCAGTAGTCCTACCTCTGTTTTCACTGCTCCCAACCTCTGCTTCTAGTTACTCCTACCTCTGCTAACACTGCTTCGTACCTCTGCTTTCGCTGGTTTATACCACTGGTTCCAGTTACTCCTACATCTGCTTACACTGCTTCCTACCTCTGCTAACCTTGCTTCTTACCTCTGCTTTCACTGCTTCCTACCTCTGCTTTTACTGCTTCCTACCTATGTTTCACTTCTTCCTACCGCTCATTCCAGTACACCTACCTCAGCTTTCCCTGCTTCCTACCTCTGCTTTCACTCCTCCCTACATCTGCTTTCACTCCTTCCTACCCCTGCTTTTACTCCTTCCTTCATCTGCTTCCTGTTACTCCTACCTCTGCTAACACTGCTTCATTCCTCTGCTCCCAGTTACTCCTCCCTCTGCTATTACCGCTTACTTCCCCTGCTTTCACTCCTTCCTACCTCTGCTTTCACAGCTAATACCTCTGCTTCCAGTTACTACTAGCTCTGCTTTCACTGCTTCCTACTTCTTCTAACACTGCTTCCTTCCTCTGCTTCCAGTACTCCTACCTCTGCTTCCAGTTACTCCTACCTCTGCTAACACTGCTTCCTACCTCTGCTTTCACAGCCACTACCTCTGCTTCCAGTTACTACTAACTCTGCTTTCACTGCTTCCAACTTCTTCTGACACTGCTTCCTACCTCTGCTTTCACAGCCAATACCTCTGCTTCAAGTTACTACTAACTCTGCTTTCACTGCTTCCAACTTCTTCTGACACTGCTTCTTACCTCTGCTTCCAGTACTCCTACCTCTGCTCCCAGTTACTCCTCCCTCTGCTAATACTGCTTCCTACCTCTGCCTCTAGTTACTCCTCCCTCTGCTAATACTGCTTTCTACCTCTGCTTCCAGTACTACCTCTGCTTCCAGTTACTACTAACTCTGCTTTCACTACTTCAAACTTCTTCTAACACTGCTTCCTACCTCTGCTTCTAAGTACCCCTACCTCTGCGTACAATGCTTCCCACCTCTGCTTCCAGTTACTACTTCTGCTTCCAGTTACTCCTACCTCTGCTAACACTGCTTCCTACCTTTGCTTCCAGCGCTTCCTCCTCGTGCTGGATGTAATGCTTCATGTAGCTCCTGTCCAGGTTGCTCTTTGTGAAGGTTTCCAATGGTTTGACATCGGGTTCCCGATTGAACAGTCTCTTAAGTGAGTGACTGTTAAACAGAAAATATATAACTCTCTGAATATTATGCTTCATCGGTGCTACGCAACAGAGTTAAGAATTAGTGTGCAAGTGAGATGAGATATACGTCCTTAACATGTATATGTGAGATGTAAAAGGCTGTTCATTTATGTATATTATCATTTCACAACAAGAATCATTAATCAGTCGAATCATTAGAACTTAGTTTCAGGGAGCAATTATACTAACCCGCTCTTTGTATATATGCACACATGCAAACTCACTGTATAGATGTGGAACTCAAAGCGCTTTAGAGCAGAGCTTATCTGATTTTAGCGCTATATAACATGTATGTATGTATTACGATTCTTTGCCGTTTATTTGCCTCAGTCTGGTGCAGATTGCAATGTCTTCAGTTTTTCCAAGTCTTTTGTATGTGATGGATCAGTTGCCCTTATCATCCGAAACTCGGGACAGAACCATAGTAAACACTTTTGTTGGCAAATATGGCATCGTGCTGTACATTGGTGTAACAGTCAGTGAGTGAGTTTAGTTTTATGCACTCAGCAATATTCCAGCTATATGGCGGCGGTCTGTAAATAATCGAATCTGGACCTGACAATCCAGTGATCAACAGCATGAGCATCGATCTTCGCAATTGGGACATGTATCAACCACGTCAGCGAGCCTGACCACCTGGTCCCGTTAGTCGCCTCTTACGACAACCATGGGTTGCTGAAGATGAATTCTAACCCGGACCTTCACGGGTCCATTGATGTAAGAAACGTACCCTATTTCCCTGAGGTCAAACTTCTTCCTTTTCACAAGTTCTGGACTCGACTTTGACCGGGGACGGTGAATTTTCACTCGGGTGCGCTGAAAGGTCAAAACAGACATCAAATGGTAGTTTGATGCAGTCACTAATTATTAAAAGTGTATATTTGTGACACAAGGCCATCCATGGAATCTTTAACAAAAAAATAAAAATTGTGAGCAATTTACCTATGAATTAAAACTACAAACATTCTACGATTAAAACTCTGGCAATGATCAACATACATTGAATGAGGTGGTCCTAAGTACCCTCTTCGGAGGTCAATTATGTAACGCTACTTCAACCCCCTCCGAGGGTACAGCCACTAACAATCAAAGTTATTTATTCATTCTACCAACTTTAAAAGAACACAAAACTATAAAGACCCAGCAATAATGAAATGTTTGTAAGACAAAACTAACACACTGAAGCATAATTATCTTTAGAAGCATATCTGGATAAATTACAGAGTGGAATTATCAAGAAATGTTATTGTTGATTAACACCTTAAGACTGTTTGTTTAATTTACGGTTAACTGATGCATAGTATTCACTAATACCGTCTTGAAATGAACATACTGGTACATTCATTGCCACCAGAATACATCTTGAGACTAAAATATACCGGGAGAAACAAATAAAGGAACACAGGAAAATTCAAGTGTTCCTTTAATCTTTTCAGTTTTCATCACCAACTTTGAATAGCGCTGTGGGAGGAAATCAGAGAATAAATAAAGGAACACTGCCATGAAGTGTATAATGATCAATACACATAAATTTTGTTTACGAAGACAAAATATCCTATTTTGTTATTAAGATGTTGCTCTGTTCTTCCTGTACCCCTGTATTGGCAGTAGTGTTTTGTTAGGTACAGCAAATGTTGTATAAATCTTAAGTTTTGTATGTCATGACACGAAATTTCTGTATCTATGTGAAACATGAACATTCTAGCTGGAATCGAACTTCAAACGTCGTGCTATCTTCTGAAGAATGTGTTTTCACATATGGTATCTAGAGTGGTGTCCCTTTTCAAAAGTTAAAATGGCTGCCGTTGTGGTAACGCTTGACGTAAGTTCTTTTCCTTCGAAGATTGGTCAATAGAGAATAGACAAGGTGAATGTCTCTAGCAGAACGTTCTGAAAGGTATGTGGGGAGCCATTTCATCTATCCTATATGGACTAAACGGCTAAATCTAACGGATTAGGTTTCAATATACTACTTTGTCAAAAACAAGAATATCACGTAGATAATTGGCATGGATCAAAGTCTCCTAATGAATTGTTAAAGACTTATACATAATTAAAACTATATTTCAGTCCAAGATGGTCAACGAGTGAGGTTGTAGGACCATACAAAAGACCTTGTGACTACGTTGTGCTAAAACCCTTTTGATCCACACAAAAAAATGCATATCGATATGATTTAGAAATAAGCAAACTATTTAGAATGTCCTTGAAAGTTATGGTTTCTATTCATACGAATGAAAATTGTTTGTCCATTACTTTTACATTTGCTAATTTAGACTTAAACAATATAGGATAATGACCTAAACTTTCAGGAAGCTGACACTAGCTTTTTTCATACTGACAACATAAATCGATGATTAAACGATTTGTTTTTGCCTAGGACCTGCTTATATTTGTACTTTTCTTAAAAGCTTGATTGATACTATTTCAAAAACCTACCTATCTACTAAAGGACAAAAATGTACATGTGGTTGATTGTTGTTGTTTTTTTTGTTGGTTTTTTTTTTAGGTCCAGAAAAGTCCTCATTTCCTAAACTACCCTTTCTCTTTAAAATTTGAGACTTTTTAAATATATTTAATAACATGGTTGTCACATTCAAGGTTAAGGGGGAAATGTATTTGCCCAAATTGCTTATATTTTCCTTGTGTTCACTGTTCAGCCAATATTCTTAAGGTTAATAGCTCTTTGGTTTAAAAAAGGAAATGTCTCTCAGCATACGAGCCCCAGTTTAAATGCCTGTTGTAATGTCAATGTTAGCGCCAATTAAAGCATGTCTTAATCTTAACTCATCATACGAAGCACATATTCATTCATAGAATTAAATGCTCGAGAACAGACATTGTATTGAAAGTTCTATGTGTGCTTAGTTTGATGGTCCTTGGTCCTTCGTTCGATCCTCACGAAGAAAGTGTGTCCTAGAATCATTTTGCACACTAGCTATATAACTGCAAGTTTGTAGCTACAAAGCAGTTTCAAAGATAAATATTACACATCATAAAACTCATTAACTTATTTTTGCTCTCTAATATATTCCGTCTCAATTAATTCAGAGACACTGTGGCACAATGTGAAAGGAACCCACCCACTGAAAATAGTCCATGGGGAGAATGTTTCGAAGGGAGAGTAAAAGACACATTCATTAAATATAATGTAGGTGGAATAATAATAATTCCGTACTGCTCTCTTCTGAGCTGGGTTTTATTTATTTATAGCTATAACGGGTTTAACTTTAACTCTACCCCGTTATATGCTTAATGAACACATCTACCCGGCATTAGTGCTGGCACGTCTGTGACGTCACTATGCAGTGACGCCATGCATGCACACGCTAGACATGTTTCTAAGGCTTAGTTTAAAAATCATCGAATGAAGGTAACGTGAAGAGACAAATATGCATCACTACCTTAAATACTAACTTACCTTTCGCGTCCGCTTTGGTTGTGGTTCCATCATAGCTACAGTCGGGTTAATTCTACTCCGTTTCATGCTGGTAGACTGAACACATCTACCCGCAATGAAAGTTGGAGAGTTTCTGTTCTGTGACGTTATGCACAAATGGTGGTGACGTCATAACACAGAGTCCATGTTTATATAACTAGTAGATACACATAGCTGCCCCTTTATTAGAAGGTAACTAACGTATTCCGATTAACATTAACTACCCCAAACTGCAATTGTTCCACTTACCGTTCGACTCCGCTTGGGTGATGGTTCCATCATAGCTCCTACCGGATTTACTCTCATACGTTTCATGCTGGTAGATTTCACACGTGTACCCGGCGTGAAGGTGGACCGGCTTCTGTGACGTCACTATCGAGTGACATACACCCAGCTTACCGTGACGACACAAATAAATACGATCTTTCTAAGTCATTTTATCATGTTTTATTTTTTATAACTTTTTGTATCAATGTTATCGAAATGTTTATGAAGTCCAAGTGAAATCCCTTTTCTTATAAGAGGCCACTGAGTATTCTTGGAGAGTCACCTAAATATGTCGTTCGTTACACATTAACTTATGATTCTGAGTATGTTGAAAATATTATAAATAATTTTTACTGTTTATATGGCTATCGAAAACAATGCAGATGTGCAAGATAGAAGATTACAAAAGGGTATATTTGTATTAAAAAAATAGATTGAAAGCATTTTATTATGTCTCACAAATAATATATATATTAATGAATTAGGCATCCGCTGTATTTTGCAATGATAGGCTTTCATAACACTTCTCGTGGTGACCACGGTGGAAAAACCGTCAGTTTTTCTGACCCGTATGATCCTTGACTCATAAAAAAGACAAAATGATTGGAAATCCTTGTTGATTTTATGATGATAATTGCTCATTCTAAAAATAACGCTGAGTTTCATACAAAACCATGTTTGTACAAGCGTGGCCCTGGAATGTTTAAAGTTGAATTTATTGGTGAATGTGAACATTCAAATGACATTTTATGTGTCTTACACGATTCAAGGTCAATACGGAGTGTAACCTCCATGTCACTGTATAACAGCCAGCACCCTCCTCCTCATACTCCCTGTCGAATCCCTCCCGAAACTCTGAAGGGGCAGTCTACGCCATTCCTCGTGTAAAGCAGCTTCCAATTGGGCCAGGTTCTGTAAAGGAGGATCCCATTGTTGCACACCACGACCAATCATGTCCGAGATATGATCTAAGGAGTTAAGATCGGGGCTCATTCAATCGTGATATGTAAGGGGGTGTTTAACTAAGTTCTTTGTGTATATATAAAGAAAGAAATGAATAGGGTACATGTAGGATAAACACCCTTTTGGGCACACAGGTTCTGCATGTTTTATGAATTTAGCAAAACATTTATGAAGTGATTTTCTGAAAGTCATAAAATGTGTTTTCAGAAGTGGAGGCTGTATGGACATTACACAAGACTGATGGAGGAGCTCAGAGTTGGGGACACGCAGTCTTTCTTCAACTACCTTAGGATGGAGCCTGCCATGTTTGATGAGTTGGTGCAGAGAGTGGGACCAAGAAAAAAGAAGCAGGAAACATATATGAGAAGGGAGCTACCTCCGGGCTTGAAGCTAGCCACCACATTGAGGTTCCTGGCTTCACGTGATAGGTACCTCAGCATCATGTACAGCTTCCGCGTGGCAAGGAACACAATCAGCCTCATCATCCCAAAAGCATGTAAGGCCATTGTGGAGGAATACAAGGATGAGGTTATCATCTGCCCTACCACTCCAGAAGAATGGGCACCCATTGAAGAGGTATTCAGAAACAGGTGCACTATTCCTCATGCCGTAGGAGCTTTAGATGACAAACACGTGGCCATTAGGAAACCTGCCAAGAACGGCTCATTGTACCACAACAACAAGGGCTGGATGGTTGAACGTTGGTGCTTACGGAAGTATGTCTGATGCTCAGATCTTCAACGAGTGCGAGCTCAAGGATTGTTTTGAAGACGGGAGCTCAGGATATCCTGACCCGTTCCCCTTACCCAAAGACGACGAGCGTATGCCATGCGTTATTCTGGGAGATGATGCCCTTGCAATAAGGACCTTCTTGATGAAACCGTATGATCATAGGACTCTCCAAAGAGACGAGAGAATCTACAACTACAGGATCAGCAGGGGCCGATGGGTAGTGGAAAATGCATTGGAATCATGCCCTAGAGGTGGCAAATCCTCCTCACCACTATGCTTCCAAGGCCTTCCGTTGTGAAGGACATCATTGAATGCTGTGTCTGCCTCCACAACTTGATGAGGACTAGTTATCCTAGTCTCCACAATGGTATGGTGGATGAGGAAGATGAGCAACACAACGTGGTGCCAGGAGGCTGGAGACAACTTGCGCGGCTTAAAGGTGTGCAGCATGTTGCAGGAGGAAACAGAGACACCCAGGCTGGAAAGAATCAGCGGGAGATCCTCAAGTATTACTTCAACAACCCAGTTGGAGCCGTGCCCTGGCAGAACAGGATGATTGATGGATAAGTGACATATGGGCATTCGATTTGCTATATTTTTATCATTGATAAGGTTTCTTATAAATATATGACACCAACATCTTAATGTGTTATGATATTACCAGCCACTTTGTGTCCTCTGAGTTCTCTAAGTTCAATTAAATGTAATTCCCATTTTACACTACTTTTGGTGGCTACGTTTTTGTGACGCGAGGGCTCATTTGAAGAGCATTCGGGACGTTCGCACTGTATTCGAGGTGTATTCGAGGTACATTCGAGCTGTATTCCAAGTGCAAGCGAAATATTCCGATACGTTTGAAGAATATTCCACCTAAATACCAGCAGCAATCAAAGAACATTCCAGGTGCATTCGGGTCATTCTTGCAGGTTTTGCAGTGGCTTGCCTTTTCGATTCTCCCTCAAATACATTCAGAATACTTAGAATGCAGTTAGAATGCAGTAAGAATACTTAGAATGCAGTTAGAATGCACTTCAAATGCTATTCGCTATACTTCCGCTTCGAATGTACCTCGAAAGTTTTGAACATGTTCAAAACATTCGGGCATGTTACAAGAATTGACACGAATAGTTGGAGTGCATTCGGAATGGAGTAAGAAGTTTTAGAATTCATTTCGAATTTACAAGGATCTCCAGCAATTTTCATTCCGACACCGTTCCGGCTCATTCCGCCTCAAGTGTTAAGGTGGTACAAGTAGCATAAGGAACTGGAAGCTAATGCTTAAAAGGGGCGGTGGGGAAGCCTTGTGGTTAAATCTCTTTATTCAAGAAAACAATTGGTTTATACATAAGTGTATTCTTATATATTCTACATTATGGTAACAGATGTAAATGTTCTTAAATAATTGTATACCTCCCCTGTCTTGTTTGAATTTGATATAAAATTGGTAAATTTCCGTTGCTTTTGGTTCTTCTATTACTGTAGGAATCCAAAATGGCTAGTTTGGGCTGCCAGTCTAAATTGACGACCATATATTTAAATTTCCTATTCTCAGTTTTAAACGCAAAGGTTACAAAGTCATTACTGACACCAATACATTGACTGATGATTAAATGTCACTGATGTGGACCAGGATAACCAACCGAAAAAGGTGAACCCAATTAATTATCCTAAGTGTAAATCTGCCATCTAGTATCTCCCATAAGCTAAATGTTACCTTTTTCAGTTTGCCTTCATTGTGAAAAGCAATTATCCCAGTGGATGTTTTATGTTTTGTTTTTGTATGATTTTTACTTAATTGACTTCAGAGGAAAGAAAAACAGTCTTGTCTGACCAGTCTGAAAATGCGAGTCAAAATATTCTGATTATGTATGTAAAATTCGTACTCTCTGAGTACATAGCCAGAACATTATTTGGTACAATAACATACAATAAAATATATTGCACCTAAACGACATGTAAATAAATCATAGATTTAATCTACTCTTCGATTAGTACAAATATTTTGAACAAGGCCTACTGCAGCATAACCCATAGGGAAACCAACTGAGTACAGTGGAAGCTGTCAAAACAGGCGGCTGGCCAATCCGTGAAGTGTCGAACAGAACAGACTGACTGAGTTTGGTTTTACGCCGCTTTTAGCAATATTCCAGCAATATCACGCCGGGAGACACCAGAAATGGTCTTCACACATTGTACCCATGTGGGGATTCGAACCCGGGTCTTCGGTGTGACGAGCGAACGCTTTAACCACTACAGCTTGTTCAGCTTGACCTGAGCTACTCTACATATGCATGACCCGGGAGGTCAAATGGCACAAACTCCAGGTCGAGTTAACTTCATTAAATAGGGGAACAGAGAATGTAATTAATGTTGCGTTCGTGCGAAGCATGGATACATGGATTCGTTACAGAACTTGTCCCGGAAAACACTTCTGAAAAAACAATCATTTCATGTTTTAATTGGATTGTTTATATGGTCATATGCTATCTATTTTGGTTTACTTTACAACGTACACACGTCAGTTACTTTCGCAATCCGATTCACTCTCACTATCACTCTTTACACCCAGTTCAATTATCACAGGAAACACCGGCGTACCAGTTGCTGCTGCTGCTCGCTGCCTAAAGACCGAATCGGAAACATTAAACCAGCTGTAGCTTCTTGTTTAAAGAAAGTTAGGAAATGTTGACAATCAACAGACAAAGGTGCACCCCTTCCCAATAATAGACCGAACCAGTTGTGACACGATCACGCAATGCATTAGTATTCACTTGATCAGGTCAAGCTGAACAAACTGTAGGCTACCCCACGGGCCCTTAACAGAACAGAAGAACAGGACAGAATTTTATTCTAAAAAAACCAAAAGGTGATATAGAAAACATACAGGTATATACAAATGTAAATAAAACATTCACATGATGTCATTTGAAGAGGATTAAACAGGGTTTTATTTGGCTATTTTGAGGATGAGTGGTTAATAATCATATTTCACGAGATCAATATATTGACAGACAGGGATTCACACGGAAATATTTTGATAAAAAGATTTTTCGTTGCTCAACAAGTGATGGACACATGAGTAAAAAAGGGAATTCGTCATATATAGCTTGATTACAAAGATTTTACAAAGTCGGTGTTTTTTCAAAATATTTAGCCAGCGCCTGTTTCTATTGGTAACATAGGATTTGTTGTCCTAAAATTTGGTAGCCCTGTTCTACTTTGAAAGAGTAATTTAAGTTATCGGCATAAAATCGCAGCGATGACGAAGATGACGACATTCCCCTGTTTAGGCTCATTTCCATACTCTACCCTGACATGACGTCAGCAGATTTCGTCACCAGTGACATGGCCATCCCTACAGAAAACCCCGACACGCACTTGTGGGAGGACCAACTGTTGACGGCAACACCCAAGGAAGAAGACACAGTGCATTCTTACTCCGACGAAGAGACAGAGGTTCCAGGGAAGCAGCTCTCCATGACAATGAGAGACTTCCTCAAAATGTTCAAAGAAATGAAGCACTTCGCTTCCTCTAGCGAGACGCACTTGTTGTCCCACATTAAGAACTTAGAAAGTGTCGCCGAGAAAATCGCTCTCGAATCGTCAATTGAGAATAAACAAACAAAAATGTCTGATTTGTTTTCAAATGCGAGGACTCTCCATAATTTATGGCTAGGGTGTTGGGTATATATGTTTGTGTACAATGTATTTGCATATATTTGCATGTATGTAAATATACTCATGTAAATCATGCGCATGCGGAAAGGGTATAAGGCACAAACAAATACTTTATATATCCAGCAGGGAATCATTGTATTTTGAGCCAAGGAAATTAACTGAACAACCTCTGAAATTTAAGTTATTTAAGTATATTTCCAGTAATTTTACACTATGAAGTAAGGAAAGTTAGTTCTACATCGCCCTGTAAGTTTATTATCGGAGTTAGGCCATGTGCAGACCACCGTCATCCACCCAGGACCTTCACTTAGAGGAATGGTAATGCATGTCAGTGTGTTAAATAGGTCATTTATACACCACTTCTCTCATTATACATCGGCTAACCATTAGCGGAGAAAATATGTAAAATATTTCACATTCAAAAGTGTAATTGGGGAATTAAGGATCCTGTTTCTGAGCAACAAAAATGATAACTTCCTTAAGTGGCATTTAGACTGACTGACTGAGTTTGGTTTTACGCCGCTTTTAGCAATATTACAGCAACATCACGGCGAGGGACTCCAGAAATGGGCTTCACACAATGTACCCATGTGGGGATTCGAACCCGGGTCTTCGGCGTGACGAGCCAACGCTTTAGCCACTAGGCTACCCCACCGCCCCAAGTGGCATTAAGAAGCTGTATGATGTAGAGGAACACTTTTTATGGCTAGACAACTTCTCTATTGTAATAGATGCGACGTTTCGGTGTAGATCCTAACACCGTTATCAAGTTAATGTATCATTACATAAAAAGTGTTCCTCTTCGACAAAAATAATGGCTGTTTTAGAAGTTAATTTAAATCATCATGTCATATAGGCTGATGACAAATGTATCTGTTAAATACATTCAAAATGTGTTGTCGTAATTGTTATTCAAGTAGTGTTTCATATATTGAGCAAAACACCTGGGTCCTGAATATTTTGGGGATTACTTAGATCCAGTGAAAGCTGAGTTTCCGTATGTTAACGGTACATAATTAATTGTCATGATTTCGAATCATTTTTGTTCAGTAATACTATATTGCCACATTGCAAGTGACAAATACACACGTTTTCTATCTCTCTTAAACGATAAATGTTTCATACCAGTATTGGTCATTCTAATGATCTTTAGGCTGTCAGTTTTAAGGAGACAAGTATAGGGTTGATTAGCGATTCAGTTACCAGAATTTCACGAATATCAGCTTCCCATCCTGCCGTAAGAAACCACAAACGGGTTCGTTGGTTGATGCATGTCATCGTAATCCATTTGCGTAGGTCGCATCCCATAATTTCTATTACCGCCTCCGTGGTGTAGTGGTTAGAGCGTCCGCCCGGAGAGCGGAAGGTCGCGGGTTCGATCCCCGACCGCGTCATACCAAAAGACGTTAAAATATGGCACTTGTTGGTCCCTGCCTGACGCTCGGCATTTATGGGTACAACAAGGACTGGTCGGCTCGGAGTCAGTATAATGTGTCTGAGTGGGGTATTCATGCTTCACTGCGGCATGGTATCTCAGTGGGCTAGCACTATAAAGCCAGCTTAGGTCTGGGCTAGTACAATCAGCCGCACATACACATACACACGCATGCACGTCGTCATATGAGCGAAATATTCTCAAGCACGACGTTAAACCCAATTTCACCTCACCTCACCTCACCTCACCTCATAATTTCTATCACTGGTTTGTCTGATCCAGACTGGATTACTTGCAGACTGCCGTCATGCAGCAGGAGTACTGCAGTGAGACGGTAAACGACAACCAAGACAACACATGATGACATGTAAAAAGGGTAAAACTGTTTTGGTGCTATTTCGGAAACGTCAACTGTACGTTGAAGCTCTTTCAGAGCTCAGTTAATAAGGTCAGGCGGTGGGGTAGCCTAGTGGTTAAAGCGTTCGCTCGTCACTCCGAAAACCCGGGTTCGATTTCTCACATGGATGCAAAGTGTGAAGCCCATTTCTTATTGGTGGAATTTTGGTAAAAACGGCGTAAAACAATACTCACTAATAGGGCCAGATCGAACCTCGGTTCAAGTGTTTGTTTAAAAAACTCTTGCCTATAAAACACATAGCGCAATAACCTGAACCCCTGTAGAGATTACACATTGAACCTTTTATTCGACACACCAGACAATACGTAAGCCTGTTATGGGTATATTTAATCACTGGAACTATGATACATTCAGTGTAAGTCCTGCATTTCGTTTCGTGGCTATGACAGCAGATTCAACGTTGGTTAGCTTGCAGATACGCTTTCAGTTCGTCGTCCATGATGTACACAGCCACTTGTCTTGTTTCTCCGAGACTGCCGTTGTCTGTGTGATCAAGACGTACCTCAAACATCTCGTTACTCTCCAACTCCTGAAAAAAGTCAGTTATGAGTGAGTTTAGTTATACGCGACACTCAGCAATATTCCATCCATATGCGGTCTGTAAATAATCGAGTCAGGACCAGACAATCCAGTGATCAAGAGAATGAGCATCGATCTACGCAACTGGGATACGATGAAATGTGTCGACCAACTAAGTCAGCGAACTTGTCGTAAGAGGCGACTAACGGGATCGGGTGGTCAGGCTCGCAGACTTGGTTACACATGGCATATCGTATCCCAATTGCAATGATCGACGCTCATGACCTACACACTGGATTGTCTGGTCTAAAATCGATTATTAACATCCCTCGTACGTCTGGAGTATTACAGTGCTTAAACACACACACGCACGCACGCACATATTACACAGAGTGGAGGCGATGGGCGTTTATAAACTAGTCCTGTCAGCAACAAATTTTCGAGGAAGATCTTAAATCTGACTGTGCAGCCTTAGTCTGGCCAGTACCATTCTTGGAAATGAAGGTACCCACGACCTATTCTTATCATGTACATCCCAGGATTAGATCATCCGTTTATTTTGTATGAGGGTGGTTGTAAAGGTTGATCAGGCTGAGTGTCAAAACAAAATGGTTGATACGTCAGCATGTCCATAAAACATAATTATTTGTTCACTGGTCTCGAGGGGTACATCAACCCAAGGGCCCCGAGGGACCAGTGAACAACGTATATACAGAACACTTCAATGGTAATTTTGAACTGTTTGAAGCACGGGTAATGGATCATAGTATGGAGTACCAGACGACAAGAAAAGAAAAACAAATTTAGAGTTATCTCCGTTCCATCGATTTGCATTCGGTAATTTCCGTACATCATACGTGATTCAACGTTATTCGAGATAAAGACTTTCTACTACGAAGTACCAAATGAGTTCGGCATTCCCAGCGGGGCACACAGAAAATGTTACTTGCTTGTAAGCGGGATACATTGAAAATAATAGAAGAGCGCTCAGCCAACCAGAAAACGGCATTTATGTGTGAGGCAAGATAATGTACATTGTCGATAACAACTTTGACTTGGTTGCCTACACATCGTAGTAGACGGTAGACGTCATTCATAATGATATTACCTTGTTTGTCTGGCAGACTCTCCATTAATTACTCGCAGCTTTGTTTCAGATCGCGCATTCAAATCACGGCGTAAAACAACATTGGAATGGGAAAAAATAGAGTTATAATGGGGAAAAAATAACATTCCAACCTGATGACACAGTTGTATGTTTTACAGTTATTCGAGGGATGATGACGACACACTTACGCTGTCATCAAAGATGGGAATCCTGATGTACTGTGTACGTTCGTCCGCCTCAAAGGTAACGGTGCCTGGTATCCCGTCGAAGTCGTCACCGGCTGTGGCGGTGTCTTCTAGCAGAGAGTAGCTGACTGTTGTCCGCCTGTTCGCCAGACCCACGCGGTCAACACGTACCCTCGCCACAGCACCTGGATCACCCTCGTTCACCGCATAGCGCTCAAAGTGGATGAACACTGACTCTCGGTTGCCTGGTTGTGAATACAGTGCATGATGTTCGTATTCATATAGACCGCTTAAGTTTCAGGTTCTGATTTATAGGACTTTGGCCCCAATCCACAAAGCATTCGTAGCGCTACGACATTCGTACGCCAAAGGTTAACTATAGAGTTACGACAGGTCGTAACGTTACGAACGCTATGTGCATCGGGACCAAGATCCTGTAAATCAGAAACTGAAACATAAGCGGTGTATATGAATACCAGGTCTTTGATAAACCTGAAGTTAAAAATGTTAATCTTTTGAACAGATTGTCATAATTAGCAGGCAGTAATTAAGACGTTATTAAACATTACTGCAACAGCTTCATTATATTTTTCCGCAAGACTACTGTTTATAATTGTGCGTTGATATTGAGAATTCCAAGGCTGGTGTACAAATAAAGCGCATTTGTATCTTCTGAACAGTAGAAACTCACAGAAACATAATGCCGGATGTATGAGACACCTATCTTTTATCCAATATGGACAAAACTATGCTCTCGGAGAAGTCCCATGTACTATACGGGTCTACTTGTCAGCAGAGGTGTTAACGTGTACGGCTGTCACTGTGAACTTATTAATCTGACATTCTGAAATTTAACCATTCGTAAAAGTGTCTTTAAGGGCATAATGCCACAGCACACTTCTCTAAAAAAAACATCATGCATTTCTCTCAATAATAATAACTATCAGCCCCCAGGGAAACTACCGTATAATTTATTCCCAAAAGAATTACGTATGTAGATAACAATATTAAGTTAAAATGTTTGAATGAATTAATACATCGTTGCATTAAATCTACTCTCGCATCCTCTACCGGCCGAACATTAATTCAAGCGAACCCCATGGAGTTATGTCCCTTGTAGCGCTTTTTACGAATATCCAACACGCACTTCATTCGTGACCAACTAGTGTTATTCCGGGACAAGCCGAATGCCGCTTCTTAGAGGTTACGGAAAGGGTCGAGTGGTGACGAATGTGTCGCACGCGGTGTTGTCGGTGACTTAAAGTGAGTGCATATGCCCCTAATATATAAAATATAGGCCAAAATATTGTCGAAAATTTGTGACATTGTGCCTTTAAATTTCATCCAGTTGGATCCCTTTGCCACGTCACACAACGTGACGTAAGGATGGTATTTGATATTACCCTGCCTGGGCAATAAACACAGACTTGAGTTTAAAGTTGGGAATCCATATTAAACTGTTACATATTTATGTTTGCTGGCCCTATAAAAGTCCGGATTATAACGAGCGCACGCACGCACGCACGCAGAAGGCTTGCCCATCACCTTTAATTGAAACAGTTCATGGTTAACAAACCTTCTGCTTGATCTGCTTTGATCGCAATGATGGCCGCCAAAATACAGACACAGGTAGCCTTCATGCTGTGAATTAACAAACAATATAGTGGTTTAGATATAACACATCGTGATCTCAATTTAATTCTGGAAACCCCAAAGTCCTGAAACTTTCCGTACTGCGGCCAGTTTCTGACAAAGAATTTGACAAAAATTCAACATGCAGTTATCATGAGCATATGCTAAGGATGAAGAAATGAAAATTTTCTTTTCGAAAACTCAATGGGCGAGAATGTGTACTTTGCTCACATTTCATGTTTTTGGCTACAGCTACACCATATATCCGAAACCTGTATATAAGCAACACCTTATATTCATATCCCGCATACAAGCTACAGAATATTACATCCCGTATACAAGTCACACCATATAATCATACCCTGTAAACAAGCTCCACCAAAAACTCATATATTGTATACAAGCTACACCATATAATCATACCCTGTAATCATACCCTGTATACAAGCTCCACCATATACTCATATATTGTATACAAGCTCCACCATACCATATAATCATACTCATATATTGTATGTATACACTCATATATTGCAAGCTCCACCATATACTCATATATTGTATACAAGCTCCACCATATACTCATATATTGTATACAAGTCACACCATATAATCATACCCTGTAAACAAGCTCCACCATATACTCATATATTGTATACAAGTCACACCATATAATCATACCCTGTATACAAGCTCCACCATATACTCATATATTGTATACAAGCTCCACCATATACTCATATATTGTATACAAGTCCACACCATATATTGTATACAATACACCATATAATCAAGCTCCACCATATACTCATATATTGTATACAAGCTACACCATATAATCATACCCTGTAAACAAGCTCCACCATATACTCATATATTGTATACAAGTCACACCATATAATCATACCCTGCAAACAAGCTCCACCATATACTCATATATTGTATACAAGCTCCACCATATACTCATATATTGTATACAAGCTCATCCATATACTCATATATTGTATACAAGTCACACCATATAATCATACCCTGTAAACAAGCTCCACCATATATCCATATCCCATATACACGCTACGTCATATACAGGCTACAGGATATGATACAAAGATACAATCGTTACTGACTTGATATAAAATGAACTGCATGTCCGACTTACATTGCCCGCACTGATGTAGCGCTGCACTGCAACTGTCTACAGAACTGCACTCTAGTAACTTCTGTATTGTGCTTTGTGATTTAATTCAATGATTCAGTAAGTACATTTAATCTGTGATATGGATAAAATGCCAGTGCTATCTGTTGTCACAGATTTGTTCGTCTTTACCCAAATCCCTATGGGTTAAGTGGGATGACCATACAGTTAGTGAGTGAGTATGGTTTTACGTCGCTTTTAGCAATATTTCAGCAATATCACGGCGGGGACCACAAGAAATGGATTTTAGCGTTCTACACATTGTGCCCATATTGGAATCGAACCCGGGAATTCGACATGACGAGCGAACTCTTTAATCTATCGCCTCCCCCATAGATACCAAAGTGAAAGGACCTGGGACTCCGTTCACGAAGCAACCTTTACTAAGGTTAACACCCGTGAAGGTCCGGGTTAGAATGTTGATCTTAAGTAACCCATGTTTGTCATAAGAGGCGACTAACGGGATCGGGTGGTCAGGCTCACTGACTTGGTTGACACATATCATCGGTTCCCAATTGCGCATATTGATGCTCATGCTGTTGATCACTGGATTGCCTGGTCCAGACTCGATTATTTACAGACCGCCGCCATATAGCTGGAATACTGGTGAGTGCGGCGTAAAAAACTAAACTCACTCAATCACTAAGGTTAACCTTAACTCCCATTCTTTAACATTGCACTAGGGTTACCTTAGTGACTTACGATCACCTTGGTGTTTTGTGAAAGAAGGCCCTGGATCAATTTGGCCTTTCCCCTAACAACACACTTACTTATATAACTGAAGTACTCACTCACTCACTCACTCACTCACTCACTCACTCACTCACTCACTCACTCACTCAAGCTGTTGATCACTGGATTGTCTAGCCCAGACTCGATTATTTACAGACCACCCCCATATAGATTGAATATTGCTGAGTGCGGCGTTAAACAACAAACCGACAACAACTCACTGATGTTCAGCCACATGGTTCACGCCAACACTGCAGCAGCGGTTTCAGTCCAATCACTAGTGATTAACCCGTCGATAACATCGGGAGCAATGTCGGTTTAGGGACATTCAGTAATCCCGATTGATTTAATAGATTTCAGCATTAGTCATTCACGTGGGAGTCGATAGAGTTTAATGGTGTCACCTTGTCAAGACAGTCATTTGGAGAATACCATAGGTAATGTGTAGCATGGACACTTAATATACCAATAAAGATAAGTTTTTCCCGGCTTCTCCCAAACCTATCACCCAAAACGTCCTTTAATAGTTAACCGATGGAAGCCAGATGTCTATATGCCTAGATCTACCCTTGAGGGTATTTAGTTGAATAACGTTGTACATTGATGCTTGACCATAACTTGGACGCAGTTAAACAAACTGGACGCTGTCTGAACGGAATGATATTGTTCACATATCTGGGGTTTTATAAACTACCGGGCAAAGGAAAATTATCACCGACTTAACTACTAGAAACAGAGACGTATGAGAGATTAATGATAATTATTTTTCAAACAGAAATCATTTTCCAATTCATTAAGAAAGTGTCAAGGTTTAAAAAATTACAATTCAAAAGTGCCTCAAGAGTCATATGAGACAGGAGTTAGGGGACACGTCATCAATAGCGAGTGTGGGCATCCATACATCAAATACACGTCAACAGGAGGACGTCGGCGGACGTCGTCAGCAGGTCCAAGAGAGTCTGTTAAGTCCCTGTCGGTTCGCTGGAGGTGGGACACGCTGTTTCAGCTGACGATCAAGATGATCCCAGAGATGTTCAATCGGGTTCATGTCTGGAAAACGGGCTGACCAAGGCAATATTCTTGAACAATTTAGAGGCCTTGCGTTGTTGTCTGCAAAATGACTGCTCTTGGCTGTTGTCAAATTAAGGGCACATTAAAAGGTCTCAACACTTCGTCCCTGTATCGCTGGGCATTCAGACCCCTCCTACGTCGAACGGTTGAACCTCTCGAAAAACTCGAACTCTGAACAGATTGAACCGACTTTCATCCGTAAAGAGCACTCTCTCACAGTCAGGTCGCTTCCACCGACGTACAGGTCGACCAGCAAAATAAATAAGCAAAAACAAAAAACAGCAATACAATGTACAAGTGCTTCGGTGATGTCAAGTTACATTGGAATGAAACAGGAATAGAGTTATCATTCTTGTTTAAAATAGTTCTGATGTTCATGAGCCAATATGAATTCCTTCCAGAGGGGCACGAGTCGCTATTCGGCTTGTCCGGAATAACACGAGTTGGTCACGAATGGACCAACTCGTGTTATTCCGGGACAAGTCGAACACCCTTCTTGGAGGTTACGGAAAGGGGCGAGTGGTGACGAATGACTTCATTCTGTTTTTCTATACTATGATAGTCGAAAACTTGGAATGCCGGAAGCTGAGACGGATTTCGGAAGTCTGCCGGCTTTATATACTACCCATCAAAAGTTTAGACTCGCTTAAATCAGAGACCATATAATCTATTATATGGTCTCTGCTTAAATCAATCACAATATGTTATGTATGTGCATATGGTTACAACGAAGATGAATTTCTCCACTAACTTGGGGGGAAACATCTGCAAACCTTATGCAGATTAATTGCACGAGGATCATGCATCAAATTGCTGAAAAGCACTTACAATTATCGTGCACGTCAACAGCTGCGTTTTCGTAGTAAAGTTTTGATAAAAAATCGCAATTTTTCACCGAGTTTCATCATTAATATTGAACACATGACAATCAACGTTTCAACGTCACGAGTTTGTTTTACAATGTATCATGTATAAATAGTACCTTTAAACTGTATGGATTATTATACAAAATTTAGTTCAGAACAGTTGACTTTACACTAGTACATTTACAGTACATTTACACTAGTGAGTCTAAACCTTTGATGGGGAGTATACATGCAAATGTACCAGTACAAAAAAAGATAGGGTCGGGCGGTAATGAGAAAAAAGAAATTATTTTGATGTGGCCTAAATGCCGGAGTCGAGCATGGGCCAGACTATCCAGTGATCACATCTTTTTTTGCACATCCTGCAAAAGTTTTGAGATTGTAATTACTGTAGAAAGAAAACGCGTCTCACTATGAGAGTCGTCCATCATTCTCACTAACGTTTGGCTGAAAAGCTGAAAGGACCACGCGGTTCGCCTGTGCGAGCAGCGATCTGGCAGTCCGCGCAGAAAGGTCACATGACTGAATACCACTCAATATACCACTACAACTGCCGTACAATGAAACAAACGGTTGCGATGAAAACACTGTTTATATTACTGAAATTAACAGAACTTTGAATAGTGAATGTATCCACGATAGTCAGATTAAACTATTTTACCGTATTTACGCTCAAACAAACATACGATATTTTCAACGTACTCGTAATATAGGCTGCAGTCTGCAGGCCTGTAAAAGAACGGGCAAAACATCTTTACGTCCAACCATACAATACAAAAAAAATCAATTTCCCAAATTCGCAGTCACTAATTGCAATGAATTCACATCGTCTTAAATGTAACCGCCTTATGTTGTCTCTGAATCAAAAATGGTGCTGGTGTGTTTCAGCACCCTTGTTTTTTGCTGATTTCGACAATGTTTCATTTCACTCAAACATAACGAATATTGTATCAGTTGCTTCAGTGCATGTTTTAAAATGTCGTTTAAAGTGCCCATTAAGCTCACAAAAAGAGTATAAATGACCTCACCACGTTAAAGTTTATATATTACTGTGAAATTTTAAGGTGTTCCCATACTTTTTGTTTGTAGTATATATATGTTTAATCTTCAGACGAATTGACTGTATCTGCTGCCTTAAGATACCTCTTTAACATAGTAACTGGACATGTAGGAGAACTAGTGACTGATCAAAACATTTCTCCCAAGGTCAGTTTTATTTTTGTTGAAAATACACTTATGTAGCCTTTGAAAAGTAATATAATTCCTTTTTATGTTCACTATTTCGGAATTTTTTAAAATCCTGCGTATGAGAACAAAGACATTGATAAGAACCTTAAATCAAGCAAAGTAGCATTGCTTCCGCCAAATATATTCAGCAACTTCAAAAATATACCTGGGGTGACAGGATCTTTCCTAACCACATGTTTAACACAAGTTCTCATTGCTGATTCTTTAACATTAATAACCAGGATATCTGCACAAGGATCTGGGAAACCTGTGATCCTACGGGCCCATGAAATACCATAAATGGCCCGTTCGCCATTGACGACCTTGGTCTAAATCTGCCCCGCACTGAAAAGAGTCAACGATTTGATGGGACATAATTTATTTTTAGCCAATGAGCTCCCTTGCTCTTTTAAGTGCGGGGTAGGTTAAGGCCAAGGTCGTCAATGGCGAACGGGCACGACACAATTCTGTTTGCGATGAATAAATGTTCGTAAACTCATTATGACAGTGAGATGTAAGTGACTCCGTAAGAATGGCGACTAGCGCGCTGATAGGTGCGATCAGTTCAACATGTTTTGGTGCATGTCGTTTGTGTATACTGTGAAATAAACAAGAAAATGGGTGAGTTACCGCTACAAATTCTGAGCAGGGATTTTGGCTCGGAATCGAGAAATCACGATTTTTCGAGCTTCCGAAGACCCTAGCTCCCAAAGTACTGCTTCGATTTTTGTGCTGTATGTCTCATTTTGTAGGTAAATCTATTGGCTTGAAATGGGTGCATACAGTAAGATAAATGGGATAGATACATAGAGTATTGTTGAATTCGACCTGAAACGAACTTGGTGTGTTGACCTCGTTACATCCCTTTCCATTTATATAGTACTAAGGCCCCGTCAGTGACAGTATATACCTTGATGGCAGTTTTTAGCGTTACAAGCCCTTGTCTTCTGAGAAAGAAGAATGCCTGGCAGATCCGTCGTTGCTAAGCCAAACAAAGATGGCGGCCGAGCTTAGCAGCAAAGCAAGGTACACAACCTTATAAGGGCATTCGTGACCAACTCGTGTTATTCCGGGGCAAGCCGAATAGCGACTCGTGCATATTTCATATTCGCGCATGAGTATCAGAACTACTTTAAA